AATTTCAGGAAATCTTATGACTTCACTGAGATTGTTTTCTCTCTATATAACAAAGTATTTTCCTTAAGATGCTCAAGCCTCAGCTCAGAGATTGAGTTGTATAAGATATAAAAACTGGAAGAAAATTTGTGAGAGCATTCAAATAAATAAAATGTAAAACAGTAAGAGAAAAGAATGTCCTGTTGACCATATAAAATTTGAAATATTTATTTGATTAAAGATAGCATAAAACTGATAATTTATAATCAATAACATTTCAATATTAAATATTGGACTAATATTCACTAGCTAATGATAAGCAATATAAAAAGAGCAAGTAGATAATTCTGAGCAGTAGAAAATAAAAAGATTAAATGTACACTTAAAATTTTCAGTCACTAGTAGTGAAACAATGTTAATAGGGTCATTATTTTCCTCTATTAGATAGGGAAATATTAAAAACATTGATATTATCCAATTATCCAGTATTGTGAAGAATGTAGGTAAACAAACTCTCACAAATGTTCTTTATGAAGAATAAGTTGTTTCAACATTTTAGAGGAGAGGCCAACTAGGCAAGTTTATCAATAATAATGACAGCAAGTACTTACTGTGTGTTATATATTGTTATAAGTACTTTCAATTAACACTGAATCGCTATACAATTCTGGGGTGATGTAGATACTATTATTATCACCTACTTCTCAGGCAAGGAGATTGGGTCATGAAGAGTCAAGGAGCTTGTGTGGTTTTAAAGGATCACTTATCTAGGAAGCCGAGATATTGGAATTTAAACCTAGGTATGGTGGGATGAGTGTTTGCTTCCCTAGTGTATCTGTAATACAACCTCAAGTGTTGTGTGTCTCCTATACTGTTGTAAAATGTGCTCAAGGTTTTGTCTTTATTTAGGGATGATAAGGTTAACAAGTGAGGAAATGATTGCTATGGAAAAGAGTTTGTGGTCCCCAGTCCATCCTGGCCCCTGCCTCCCATGCTGCATTTTATTTCTAGATGTCAGCTCACCCTAGAAGGGCCAATCTCTCTGGGGCCACCAATGCCTCAGATTCCAGAGCATCAATAAAAAAAAGAACACAGAAAATAAGAAAATGTATTAATACATGTGTATTTTCTTTGACTCAGAAATTTGCTATTTGGAGGTCATATTATAGAAATATACATTTCAGTAGAGAAGTGTAAACACACGTGCCCAATGCAGCAGTGCTTACATCTGCTAACATTTGGAAACAACATATGTGTTTCTCAATAAAACTTGGTTGGAATGATTTTTCTATAAACAGAATGGGTTTTAAAGCTCTAAACAGAAATGGAGAAGAATTACGTGCGTTTGAATGGCAGGCTTCTGTGATCCTTGAGAGAGGGAGATTGAGAATGGTGAAAATACTTTGTCTCATATGCTACCATATGTTTGAATATTGTGAAGAAGTAGTCCTACTTTTTATAAAGATTATTTCCTGTTTTACATCCTAGTAACAGCAGAACTTATAAGTTAATTTGAATGATAAAGGATTGCAAAGGAAAGGGCAACTGTGGCGTTATTTTTGAAGAAATAACAGTGATTGTGGTGTTTGTGGAAACTAAAAGGAAAGGTTGCCTCAGGAAGAGGAAGTGGGGGCTCCAGCAAAGGACTGTTAGAGGGATGGAAGTTCCTGAAGAGTTCTAGCCACTGGCCAGGGCAGGACAGTGGTTCTCAGACTTTAATAGGCATCAGAATTCGTGAAGGGCTTGTTAGAGTAAGCTTGTGATCACTGCTGTTCAATGCCAGAATTTACTACTCTGAGTGTCTGTGATGGAGCCCCAAAATGAGACTTTCTCACAAGTCCCAGGTGAGGCTGACACGGGGTGTAGAGACTGGACTTTGGGATCCACCATCCAAGAGGTGGGGTGTTGAATAGGGTTACCAGCTGTGAGTATTGATTAGATCAACTGAGGGAGACCAAGAAACCACAATCACACCAGTGAGGCTAGGGGAAGCAAGGCAAAGCCTCCAGCAGAGGGCAGTGCTAAAAGTCTTGGACACCATGGTGTAGACAGAGCTACTGTTCTAGTCTGATCTGAATCAGTGGATGACAAGAATTTTAAATGATTAGCTGTCCAAGTCAGATCAAGTAGTAGTCTTTTACACAACTGTCTTGTGCAAGTGGCGGCAAGATAAAAAGTTTAGGTCAATCCTTTGTCTGGAGTGCTCACATGACCAAGTCATGTTTGGGTGTTTGAGAACCCCCAAGTGGCTCTGAAACATTTTACAGCATAAAGATCAGGTACCAAGGATACTAATTGGCAGAAAAATGTTTCACTTCTCTCTGAGCCTCTCCAGGAAACATCTAAATTGTTTTGTGGAACCTGACTGTGTGAAAGGTCCTGTCCTTTTGCTAGGATAATGTCATGAGAGTGTTTTGAAATATAACACTTTCTCTGAAAAATAATATAAAATCCTAAATCTTTATTTCAAATTTTAACCAAAATCCATATAAAGTTGGAATTTTTTTACCATTTTACTTCCAGGATTCTGGAGTGGTGAAAATGATACCAGTTAATAGTTACATTTGTTTATCATCTCAAATCAGATCTCTGTCATAAAATTTGCACAGTAGTACTCTTTAAAGAAAAGTATGATGTGGATTATAAAATAACAAGAAGTTATGCTTTTTTGTTCAAGTTTGTTACTTAAGTGTACCTTCTTTTATGATAATTGATTTTTCAAAAGGGGCATAAGGGCAAAGTGAGTACTATTCATAAATCCCAATGTTGTTTTATCAGTAAATTCCAAGAGTTGAGACAAAACTAAGCTCAAACACTAGAATTTTACTTAGTCAAATATTATTCCCAGTGTGAAATAATTAAAAAGTAGAAAAATATATTGCTCTTTTTTAAAGCTAATATCTATAGTCTGTTGTTCATTGTTTAAATTAGAAAACTGTTCCTCTGAGAAATAAGGAACTTTCTGATAACTATACAACTTCCTTCTGAATACTTGATTGTAATCAAAGCTCTCATGACACAGTGTTCATCTGTTTATATTTTATGATTACTCAGAACCCAGGCTGAAATTTTGGTTTTACTTTAAAGAAAGAAAATTTTTCTTATCATAAGACCAAAAAGGTAATGTTTATACGTTTTCAAAGTAGATCCTAAACATCCTAGAACAACTTAGAACAGAGTTATACTTAAGCGATTTATGTATGTACAGATCATTTTTCATTTGTGAAAATTTCATCACTAATAATAATATTCTTATATAATAATTCATTAGCTGAACTTGAAAACCTCTTGATACATAAACATCATTTAATAGTGTTTTCTTAGAATTGATATTCTACACTAATTCATACAAGAAGTAGTCAAAAGTGGAGTAGAGAAGTAAAATGCAGCCATCAATATTTTGTTTCTCTACAATTCTCCCATAAATGGATAGTTTTATCAAAATTTTAAATTTTAAATTCAACTTGTATGACTGCATGACTATTATGTGCCAAATGACATTAGTTGTTGTGACAGACTGGAAGGTGTTTATCCATTGTTCAATCTCTACTTCTGAAACAGAATTCTGCTTTCTGGTGAGTATGGGAACGGGAGTGTCCCAAGCTGAGAAACTACATTCCTGAGCTTCCTTTTTAGATAGATGGCCACATGACTAGGACTTGGACAGTGGGATATACCATAAGTTGCCTGGTGAGCCGATTAGGCCAGATGTTAGTCCTTGTTGCCTGGGACACAAAAGAGCTGCAGCTATGGTCTAGAAGTTACCACTCAGGAGGCCATAGGAGAGCTGTTGCTGAGACATTGGTGACTATGCATGTCAGGATTCTCCAAAGAAACAGGGCCAACATTAGTAATCGATGGATGGATGGATGGATGGATGGATGGATGGATAGAAGATAGATAGATAGATGATAGATAGATAGATAGACAGACAGATAGATCCCCTTTATAAATATACATGCCTCTGTCTCTGTCAGACATATGTGCATGCATAAACACACACACACACACACACACACACACACCCATATCTCTCTCAGAAAATTATAAGTAATTGGCTCATGATTTGATAGAGGCTGACAGGTTCCATGAGCTTCAGTAAGCAAGCTCTATCTCCAGGAGAGCCCATGGTGTCTTCTCAACCTGAAGATCAGCTGCCTCAAGACAAAAGCAAGAGAAAGCTGTTATTCCTCCAGCATGAATTGCTCTCCGCCTTTCTTGTTCTTTCCAGAACTTTAACTGATTGGATAAACTCCAGAAGCTTTAGTGAGGCCATTTGATTTATTCATTCTACCTATATGAATGTAAATATCATGCACAAACACCCTCAAAAGACATACCCAGAATAATGCTTGATCAAACTAGTGGGCCTCCCAACGGCTGAGTCAAGTGGACACAAAAAATTAGTTTAGGCCAGACACAGTGACTTTGGCCATGCCATATAGGATAACAAGCCTCCAGATTTCCTCTATGTGAAAGGAGAATAAACCTCTGCTTGTTTAACTCACTGTTTTACAGCAAAATACAATACCTAGCTGATATAGTGGCTATAATATAATTCAAGTGGGATTCTGTATAAACATTTTAGAATTTCAAACATCATTTTCACATGACAAACTCTTAGCAAACATTCTAATATTGATAACTAAGGACATAAAATCTTAGGATATACTTAGGACATAGAATCTTTATTAGACCAATTTTTTAAACTATAAACTATAAATGCAACAATATTGCAATTTATAAATATTCTTTGTTATTAAAAGTATTTTTTCTTTTACACTAGTTTTCATCCACCTTTTGTGTTCCAGGCAACAAGCAAGGACTAACATCTGGCCAAATCAGCTCACCAGGCAACTTGTGGTATATCCCACTGTCCAAGTCCTAGTCATGTGGCCGTCTTTATCTACAAAGGAAGCTCAGGAATGTAGTTTCTCATCTTGGTACACTCCAGTTCCCACACTCAGCAGAAAGCAGAGTTCTGCTCCGGAAGAAGTAAAGACTGAATATTGGATAAACATTTTCCAGTCTGTGTCACAAAAACTAATGTTATCTGGCTAATTCAGGGTCATCTTCGGGAGATCCCAGGGTGTTTTCTGAAGTTCAGGTACTTCTCCTAAATTCTCCTTTAACACCCTGCTGTTCCCTCTGTAATGATCTTTCCTATCATCTTTTTGATTATTTAGTTAACACATGAGCTAACAGGGAATTCAACTTATATTTTATCAAGGTTTTTTTCTTCTAAATGTTTTGGACTATATGTGAGGAGGTTCTATGTCTATTGTTTTTTATCATCCTCAGCTCTTGCAAAACCACCCAACAGCTAATTTTACCAATTTATTTATTCATTCAATTAATCCTTTTAATTTCTATGCAATACTCAAGCTGTGCAATGTATTAATGCATTACTCACATTTGTCTGTGTCCTTAGAAGTTGTTTTCTGTTTTATGTGTGTATAATTTTAAAAGATTTTAAGTGGTACTACTGTGTTATAGTCTATATTTTAGTTTAATTTAACATTTTCTGTGGTTTGATTTGATGTCTATTCAACACTATATATATTTTCATATCCATTCATGTTGCCATATGTACCTTTAATCAATTGCTTCTAACTCGTGTATGATATTCTGTAGTACATAGCTACCACAAATTATTTAATGGTTGCTCCCAAATTCAATTCACTACATTTATGAAGCAATAAGTATTTATTTTCATGTCCCCTGTAGAACTTGTGCAAGCTTGGGAGAATCTCTTTTGTGTATGTGTATATAATATATGTATCTAGACATATATCAAATATACATACCTATAACTGTGTATAAATACAAAAAAAATGCCTATGAGCTTCATTACTGTCTCTCAGGAAACTTACATGCTTAATTTGACCAAATAGTGCAAAAATAATTCTTTTTAAAATTGCTGAACCTGTCAATGCTCCTACCAACACATACAAGAATGTCAATTAACCCATATCCTCTCCAATAGTATCACTGACCTTTCCAAATTGTACTTATCCACCAATGTAAAAGTGTACTTCAGCTTTTAGCATGCATTTCCCTGATAACTAATAACTTCATTTTCTTAATAGTCCTTATAGTGGTACCTTTTCTCTACTTTACCACACATATTTTAATTGGAATTGATGTATTTTTGTATTTGTTGAGGATTTTTCATGAGTTCTTTTTTTATCCTGTATTGTTAAATCATTCTCAGACTTAGACATTTGAAATACATTCTCTTGTTTTATCACATGTCCATTAAGTCTTATTGAACAGTAATGCCTAATTTTCTTGTAAAACAATATTTTACTATTGTTTGTACTTTTGAAAATTTTAAGTTGTCTCTATCTCATCTCTTAATCACTAAGATATGCATATATTCTCTTTTGTTAATTTTCTAATTTCATTTTTTATATTTGAGTATTTAAAATGATATGGGGTCTACCATTGTATGTGGCAATAGGTTGGAATCTAGTTTTATTTTGATTCATACAGTGAATCAATTTTCTCAATATCAAGTATCATGTGACTAGTCTTTTCTTCATTGTTTATAGTCTGTAGTTGTTATGTATGTGTATATATCCAGTCTCTAAGCTTTTTATTTTATTTTATATACTTTAACCTATTGTTCCAAATTGATCTCTATATCCTGGGAGACTAGTAGACTACCTAGTGCATTTTTTGTTGAGTAAATGTTGACAATTTATTTATAATAAGCCTTTTAAACCAGTGTCCCTTCAACAGAATTGTCAGACAGACCACAGCTCTCTCCCCACTTAAACACGGGGTGATGCTCATAGTATCTGAACACTTGTAGCTGAAGTCCCACTCCATCTTCTTACCATTTCATACCAGTAGTTAAATTGGATTGTATTAGGTACCCCAGCTCCCTAAATGTTCATGACTTTTTGTAATTCTGTAATTTAAGTCCTACATAAACAAATAAATTGTGAGTGCAAAGAGAGAGTTGCTTCAATAAAAAAGTATTTTTGAAGTATGTGATAAAGAGAATTATTGAGAAAAAAGTGATGGGCTAGGGAAGGGAGTAAATAATTGGGACAAAAAGATGGGAATAATGAAGATAAAGAATAATCCTCCAGATGGCTTAAAGTTCTTTTCTGCTTCAGAATAAGAAAATCTGGAAAACCCAAATGATGTCTTATCAAGATGGTCTAGACGAGATAAATGAACTAGAATTACAAACAGAGCATCTAAATTGAGAGAGGAGAGAAAGACCTTAAAAGTTTGGCACAAAAATGAACTTGTATACATAGAAACATTGAAATAAAAATCATACGTGTGTCATTAGTATGATTCCATGTTTTAACGAACTTTTTCAGTTGAACAACTAATTGTAAAATCTGATAAGAAATCTTCCAGAAGACAATCATGTACTAGAGGACCCAGATTCCAGGGAAACTGCAAATTCAAACATTGCTGACACACTTAGGAAAACTATTCTACAAAATTAAAACTTTTTCCTTATATTATTAAAATTAAAGCTACTATGATAAATATTATATCAATATGAGAATGAGCATATAAATCCATCTTTCCTACTGCCTAAATGTTTTTAAACAAATAAATCCATCCCAGCGGTGACAGAAAGAACACACTCATCTCCTGGGAAATTTTGAGGAATTCCTGAAAGATAGAAAGCAGATGAAATCAGAATGTCAGAAAAATAAAATCAAAGAAAACAACAGCCTAAAACAGAGATAAGAAAATTACTTTTGAAAGCAATTTCACATATAATCAAAGCTCAGTCAACAAACAAGAGGACCTGAGTACATGGTCAGAGTAGTTCCATAATCTGATTAGTTAGGGCAGTTTGACTTCCTCTCATGTCACTCACATTAGCTACACACAGCAGTTATGCTTCCCCCAAGTATCTTTTCTTGAACTCCCTATAAGCATTCTAAAAATAAACACAAAAATCTTAGAAAAACATGATCAAAAATATTAAAAATAAAAGGAACTCAATAAATGTGGTGAGTTGTACACTACAAATAGCAGAAGGTAGAAAAACTGGACTGGAATATCTCACTGGGGGATACTATAGGATAGCAAGAGGAAAGGAAAAAGAGATGGAACACGTGTAAGAAAACCTGGTGGGTCTTTAGGCTGTGTATATGCATCCGTGCTCATTTTAAGTTGATTATTACAGCACTTGGCAAAGTGGGTTTAATTATATTGATCATGGGCAGACCCAGAAGAAAACATCTAGATGGAAGAGGAAGGCAGTGGCCACACAATGTAGGACTTGGATCTCTTCAGTCCCAGGCCAAGTTCTCATTCTCCCTGGCCCACCAAAGGGAGTGGCTGTTGTGGGAGGGAAAATCAGTGGGAACACCTCTTTTGATATACTGTGGTCCTAAGAACATGCATCAGAGAAATGTAAGCATGGCTATTGTTGGTACACTGTAATACTGAGACATACAGCAGGCAAGTATGAGCGTAGCTATGTTGTAGGCTAGATCAAAGAGGCTGCAAACACTTGGGCATTGATATACTTGAGTCAGGTTTCTTCGGAAGTCTAGAGCATGTGTGGGGAGCAAATGAGCTTGTAGAATTCTGGGCCTCATCTCCAGAAATGAGACTCACTTGGTGTGGGTTCATAGCTTTAGGATATCGACGTTTGTAGGTACCGCAATAACTCAGAAGCAGAGTCCGAGTAGGAGAACAGAGTGGAGGGTCTGGAGAAGCCAAGGCAGCTAAAATTCCCAGAGTGCAGTCTGGAGAGGAAAGACCGCTCTGGAGACATGGAGGGTTTCCCTTTTCTGCTAAAAACTGGTCAGCTGCACTCATGAGCAAACCACTCTAGGCTGAGGAAAGAATGGAGGGAGCTGGGAAACATTCGCAGCTCCTGCCAGACCAGTAAGAGTTTCTGTTCCCCTGTCCAGAGAGCTGGATCTGCAAGATACAAGACACTCAGTAAAGTGCTTGGAAAGAGTTGTCTCAGAAGTGGAGCTGAATTAGCTCTAACTCAGTGCCATATCCCATGTACAGCACAAAAGCACCCCTGACAGGATCAAACCGTTCGTAATTAATTTAGCTGCACCTCCAAACAGAGATTAAGAAAGAAATATGATTCACTGAAAAAGGTAAAATTCATAATATCTGCATCTAATAAAAATGAGTGTACATGATTCAAAGAAGCAAGATTACAATGAAGTAAATAATGAAAATAGACATAGAAATTATGTATGTGATAAAATTAGTAAAGAAAATATAAAAATTTAAAATTGTATCTCATAATTTAACTGTATTACACTTTATTATTCAAAAATGTAGCAAAAAGCAAGAACATGTTACAACAAGCATAGAAGATATAAAAAGAAACAAGTAAAACTAGAGATTAACAAATAATAGAATCTTCAAAGAATAAGATTAAAATGGACTAAACACTGTAAAAAAAATTAGTGAATTTAAAGAACTAGCAATGCAAACCACCAAAGAGTAAAATATGGAGAGAAATGGGACTAAAAAAAGTGAATATTCAGAAAAGTGTGGACAAACTTTAAGCATATAAGAGCAGATCAAAAAATACACTGAATGTTTAAAAAAAATTTTTTTACTTTTTATTCCCATTAAGTTTATCAGTACATTTTAGGTATAAAATACAGTTACATTCATCATTAGGATCTTGTACCATTACATGAGTATCTTGGTTCTTATTTTTTTTCCCCTTCCCCTGCTCTCCCTTCACCCCTCCACCTTTCCCTACTTGCAAAGAATTTGTTTCCATTTTTTTCCTTTTCTCATATTTTTTCTTTTCCCCTTTTTCCTTTCCCCACCCCTCCCACTTCTCCTGCTCCTTTAGAACTTTTCTTCCTGTTACACAATATCAATTATACATTTTTAAAATTACAATATTAAGATCTA